GTAGAACTTGAATTGAATACCAAAGTAGTAGAAATGTGTTGTAAAGTCAGTACTAGGATTAGGCTGAACTCTACAAAAACATAGCAGTTTAATAGTACATCCTGACTGCCAGTGTTAGTTTTAGCCATAGTGATATCAGGTTAGCTATAAGAATAAGATACAAAAGATTCTAAAAAGTTTAGTACAAAGTCAAAAGTTCCAAAGAACTGCTTTAAAGACTTAGTAACCATGGCATATTTTCATTAACATTGGTTGGGATCATTGGTTAAAGTCATTAGTAGCAAAAATAGATAGATGAATATAGAAACTAGAATGCTTAAATAGAGAACTTACAAGCAGATTTTAGGTATAGCAGCTAGTGTAGAACCTTTAGGCAGACTACTTAAATTAGACTATAACTAAAATTGTATAAATGGCTAGTTGTATACTCTTTTTATAATTGCCTTCTGTAGTTGTAATGCAACTATTAGCCAAATATACTATCAATAAAATCCTGAGTTGCAAGTACTCATCTTAATAGTTAAAAACATTAATTAGAATCAAATATAAAAAAGAATAAATTGTGTATTAAGTAAAGTTTTATTTAAGGATATATTAGTAAATTTAGTATAAATTTAATTAAATATGAATTAAAAAATGATCTGATATTATACAAAAAAACATATAAGAATAAGTAGATCAAAGTAAGGACAAAAAGTAAAAAAGAATTTTTATAAAAGAGTAAAAATTAAATTTGGTTTTAGTTTAGTTAATATTAGATTAAAACTCTTCATTTAGAGCTTGTTTTGACCAGAAAAGTATACTTTATACTTTTATTTAAGAGTATAAAGTAGGTTTTGACAACAGCTTTTGCATAAAAGTTAAAATTGTAAATTCTGAAAGCCAAAGACCATTAGTATGTTTTTTCAATAGGTTTAAATTCTAAAGACTTGAAACTTTAAAATAAATATAAAATTTAATTTTGAACAAGTTTATTTAAGAGCCAAAAATAAGTTAACTTAGTAAAATAAATAGTTATAAACATTTTTGTATGAACAAATTTTTAGTTAAGATTTGTGTAAAGAATTTGCAGAAAGAGTTTTCTTTGTAACAAATGTTCAAATTATAAAAATTTAATAATGTTGAAAATAATTTGAATTGGATATATTTTGTAGAATTGCTTACTATTTTAAGCTTAGTTTTCATAGTTATAAAAAGTGCTATAGTTTGCTTAATATATTGGGTCTAACTATTATTATTTTGATTCTCTGTATAGAAACTAACTCTCTTTATTTATTTTCATTATTTATATATAAATTTTTTATTATATACTTTATATAACTCTTTAACTATCTCTTTTATTATAAATAAAATAAACTTTTAATTTTCTTTAATATATTATTATTGTGTTATATACCTAACAATATAATATTTAATGTATCTAATCTTACCAATGCCCATCATTTTAATTTGTCTTTTGACTCAAATTAATCACATGCTTTATTAAGTTATTTAAATTACATTTTCTTTTATCTTTTAATCTGTTATATATTTTATTATTAGTTTATATTACTTTTACAAAATACAAACATTATAACATTATGATTACATATTACAAAATTATAGTTACAGCATTATAACATTATTGTTGCAATATTATAGCTTAAAGAAATTATAGCAAATAATACATTACATATTATAAGTATATTAATTTGTCAAATTACCAACTATACTAGGCTAATGTGTAGCATTGTGTGTTTAGAGTACATAATATAAAAATGCATAAACATGCATATTTTTGTTATATTAAATTACAAATTTAAACATGTATGCAAACAAATAAAAAATTTCTAAGTTACATTTCTAATATGATCTTTATAATGTTTATGCAGATGCATTAAAAAAGTAATTTTATATAATTAAAATATATCAAAAATGTAATTTTTGTATCACTTGACATTAAAATTCTGGTCTATTTACCTATTTATCTATCGAATATCCAGAATCTGAATTTATTTGAATATCTGTTTTACTATTGATATTCAAATAATTATTCAAATATTTGCTGAATTATCTGAAAATCAATAGTAAATAGATATCCAGATAAATTCAGATACAGATAAATGAATTAGGATTTATTCAGATTGGAACTCTACTTAACATAAACACTTAGGGTCCTCCACTACGCTCTGGCTAATTATTAAACAATATAAGCTTCCAATCTTCTTTTTTTTGTTGATCATTTTAAACATTTAAAGTTTATATATAGTTAATACAATTAGACTGCAATAAATAGTAAAAATATTTATTTTTAATTAAAGCTTTTGAGAGTACTAATTATGTTTGATTATTTTTGCATAATGAATATAGACATTGTTAATGTAAAATGGCAAGTCAGTTACTCTATTATTGGATTTCTTGTGTAACTACTTGAGAAGGTTTAGATTTGGTCAGGTTATACAAGCATAAAAGATTTCAGGTTGGTTTTTTGTCATATGTACTGACATACTTTTATGTAATTATGAGTTAGAGTAGTTATGTTATAATCGAATATTTCTAATAAAATTATCAAGTTTATTACTTTACAAGTGATTTAATATTGAGTTATTTATAAGAAAAATGACCATGTATCAGTTGCAAAAAGAAAATTGGTTTTCCCAAAGAATATTTTGACTTTTATTTATAATTGTAGAATTCTATTTACATTATGCAACACCCTTCTGACCGATCACTGCTATCCGTCATATCCGTCATATAAGCGACGAAAAGGGAAAACCTGTAAATCATTTTACTCATTGAGTGAGATGATTTACAGGTTTTCCCTTTTCGTCACTCATATGTAACTATAGATGTGCCATTTATTATGATATCTGAATTTTTTAGCGTACAGTACAGTACATACAGTATGTATAGTTGTATAGTGTGTATAGCATACGTAATACACATAATAGATGTAGCATTTATAAATCAGTTATATGCAACATTGTGCAAGGAATAATTTTTATTAGAATGTGAAAGACACAGTTTCATAATCAAAAAATTGAGATAGAAATACTTTAATGATTTGTTCTAGAATATTCTAAAAAATTTTTTGCGTACTGTACGCGGCACATCACTATATAAGACTGATGCGACGAATGCGATCGATCCTTTCCTAATTTAGACATGAACCCAAACGGTCAGGGTCCATCCGGGGCTTTACTTATTTGTGCCGGTAATACAATCCAAAAAAGGAATTTGATTTTATAAATAAACAAAGTGCGTAAAACACGTATTTAGGGTTGGAACGTTAACATTAGAGGCTATAGCGATAGACTATCGTTCATTATATGTAAAATTTCGTTTCCGACATTTTTAATTAGTACACCAAGGCTGGTTTAAACACTAGTTTTTGAGTTTTTTCGCTTTTTCTTCTTTTACACGCATTCGGAATTCATGTCGGGCTGATTCGGAACGATCAAAATTTGAATTCACTGATTGGCTATTTCCTTTTTAGGAGTTTGTATTACAACATTCTTCAAAGTTAGAAATGGCTTTTTTTGTGAAACGTTGCATTCTCAAAATACACTTTAAAAACTGTATAAATAAATTACCCGGGCAATTGATCTGAATCAGCCAATCAAGCGAATGTCTGTCTATGAGTTAGCCGCGGATTATTTTAATTAGACAGAAATCTCCGGCTCGCACCATACTGAACATCTATTTCCCAAAGACCACATATGTAATAAGAATAGTAAATACTGTACTTCTTACATGATCACATTATTACGCCCATGATTATTTATGGAAGAGAGGTCCATATTTTTTCGTAAGAAAACCAAACCCACTATTGTATAAATTTGTGCTTCGTAATTGTTAAATTGCTTACAAAATATTATTTCTAACAGTTGAATTGCCAAAATTGTGATGCTTAAAAAAAAAGATGTATATGTGTTTTTATATGTCATCATTCCTATCATCTATTATTTTAATTTCATAATACGTCATTAACGGATGTTTTAAACTACAAGTCGATAGGTTTTACTTTAAAATACAAGTTTTAAATCCCACTTTTTATTATATTATCGTCGGGTTCTTTCACGGCAATACTATACTTGGAGTATATGAGTTAGGTACCTCAAAGAGGGGGAAATTGGCAAATTTTCTAAAATTAAATTTTTACACAAATTGGTTTAGTTAAACTCAGTGTCATTCTTCACTTAAGACACAAGAGTAGTTGTATTAGTAAAATTTGCAGTATAGCTCTTCAAACTTTCCAATTTATAACAAAAATTGATTTTCGAAGATCTTTTTTTTTTTGTAGTTGATTCCCCCTTTTTTGCAGCACTCAGTCCATTTGTATTTCATACACCTTAAGAACAATTTTGCTGTGAATGAATTAGATCGCTGGTGAATGGTGGTGAAACTGATGAAATTTAATATAACAGCCAATCAAATGTCAGATAGTCATCAGTTTCACCAGCAACTCTAGAAAGAACCCATTTATAAAATTAGTTTAATTATTAATATTTTAGAGAATTGATTTTCATATTCCTGTAATCATTATTCTGTCAATTTTAATTTTATTAGCCGTATTTTTGCGCTCTTGAGTTCATTTACAAGATCATTGTTTCCAAAGCAGAATCTACTGTAGTATTTACTATAGTATTATTTAAAAGAAATATATATGTAAGTATAATTAGAGTTCATATATTTATAAATGCGAGTTTATTCTTTGAGTTGAGTAGTAATCCTTAAATTGCTTTAAGGGGTTAATCTCCGTTAAGTTCATCATAAGTTACAGACGTTTTATTATCAATATGAACAGAAATTTTTTATTGATGTATTAAAACGCATATCTGAGTTCATACATCTTTTGATCACAAAATCTGGGTTTCTCGGAGTTTCATAAACTTTACAAATTAGAATAATTGTACTTTGTGAAGCGAATTGGTGCCACCAATTATTCGGAATTTGGTTCCGCACATTAATACTTTAAATAGAAAACATGTCTCCAAACCTATTTACTATAACTAACGAACATGCTGGGATTAATAGAAGAAATTACTATTAGGAAATTAAAATTGAACTATGGTTTTCGTTACGAAAATAGAAAATTTGTGCCATCTCGTTCAATCATTGATGATGGCAAACTAACTTTAGAAAAATACACAGGTGAACTATTAATTTATCAACGAGCTCAGAATGATGTAGAAACATCTAAAACGACGTGGGAACTTTTTGAAGAAACCTTCTCCGCGTTAATTGAACCCCAAAACATTCATGACGAGAAATCTAAATTTTCAGAAGATGATGTCTTATTACTTATTCCTATTTTAAAATACACATATATTAGTAAACCTATCACTTTTGTTCAATCAATCTCAAACGGAGAGTTTCTTTTTGAGAAAGTATTGGTTGGAGGTGCTCTAGTTATAAAAAACGTTTCTAAATATTCACATGACTCTTTAAATCAATTAAAAGCACGAATTGCATGGGCGATCCCTGAATTTCGTGAGGGTCACAAGAATTTATTTAAGGAGTCAAGAGTTGATTTGAGATTGCCTTCTATTGAAGACTTAGACGGTAATCCATTGGATGAAATGACAAAGTTGGTAAGAAGCATGTATTCTTATTACTCTTAACATTCTTATCATGATTGTTATCATGAATATTATTAACATGTTATTTTTATATTGGATTTGTTTTTTTTTTTTGATTAAAATATTATTTAGTGTAAATATGTTCAACAATTATACGAATATGAAATTGGATCTGTAATTGCTTATGAAAGAGTGAAGCCTTTTTATGTTTGTCTAGATGCAAAGAAATGGAAAGAAATTGCTATGGCAGAATCATGTCCAGAATATTTTGACAAACGTCTTGTACCAGATATTTCAGTTCATCATGTAGAGATTAGTATGAAGGATTGGTTGGGCAGTAATAATATATATATGCAAATTCCAAAATGGATCAAACAATATCAATTAGACCATGGATTTGTGGTTAATTCAGGCGGATTGACTCCCAGTGTTAAGCCTGCCATAGAATTAATATCTGAGCCTTCGATAGAATTTCCCAACTCACCTAAAATGTTAAGTATTTCATATGTAGCAGCACAAAAAGATTTATTCTATAAAACGAATTACATTGATATATTTAATAATTCTCAGAGCTTATTGGATAGTATCCCATTTGTGGACTTAACAATTGATGCTTCACACATAAATGTTATTAATTGCGACATAATTTATGAACAAATCTTGTTGACCATTGCTAAGAATGCGATTAGACCTTCTAGGCAATTTGAAGCCGCTATTACAAAAGCATTAAAAGAAGAAAGCCCATACCATTATCTGGAGGAAATATTTAAAGAATATGGGCAAATTTTTTGTTTAAAATTTGCCATTGGTGGAAGACTAATCAAACTAACCGAATTTACACACTTTAAGCAGGAGTGCCTTACAAAAATAACAAACAATGGATTTGAAGAAATAACAAACTGTCATAAGATTTTGGATGAATGGAAAAACTTCCTTGATCAACAGCAGATGGATTCAACAGGATTTTATTTGCCTAATGCCAATTCAACAGTTAACATTAATAATATAAATGACATTGATCTGTGTCTAAATACTATTTCTGAGAACCCAAATTCATGGTGCATTATTAACCTTCAGCAATTTTTACCTTTATATAAACTCCTTAAAGACGATTTGCGAAATGAAATAGAACTTTTACTAAGCAATGAAGAGCGAGTTTTGATGGAAGGTTATTTTAAACTTGAAAATAATAAAATTCGAAATTATAAAGTAGACTTTGGGTTTTTTCTAAAAAGTGATAATTATCAAGTTATTGGTTCAATAGTTTCAAACAATTTGAAGAGACCGGATTTAAATTTAAGATTTCAGGTGTTGAGTGTTTCAGGATTTTCTGTTGTTATTGATGATATTGATAATAAAGAGATACCAAAAGAAACAACTGAAGAGTTTGTATAGATTCCTTTATTACGTATTATTACAATAATTTCCTTTATTGCATATTATTACAATGGTTTGTTTATCAAATTAACGTTTTTTTAGTGATTTAACGATCTACTGGTTATTGATCGGAAAACCGTTGTCTGTTAAATACTTTAGCAATAAAACTAGAAATATACAGATTTTAACTGGCACAATCGGTATTACACTTTCACATAAACAAAAGCTTGAGATTGATATAAAGGAAAAAATGGATAAGGTGGGATTGCTATCATTATCACCAGACTGTATGATTGCAACCTCCTTTAAATTTCATTCAACAAACTTTAATCCTAAATTTCAAGTAGCCCTACATTCATGGTAATGTACTAAATTTGTATTTAATAGATACACGTAAATAGCTACTCGTAAATGGACACACATTGATATAAATCTAGGGCAAAGACAAAAATCTACCTGGAGGTCACAAATCATTCATTCGAAAAAGAGGCACCAGAATCCACACATAATTTGTGCAGCTTATACTGGTATGTTATATATACGATTCAACAAGAATCATTTGTTGTAAATCGTAAAGAATTGTGTCAAACCTCTTGGGAATATTTAGGTCATCATCTCAAAAAAGGTATAATACAAATATTTTTTTCAATATCGATTTCTATATGGCATACGTCATTTTATTTAATTGCCATTATAAAAAACTGCAAGAACTCTACAACGATTCTCTGGAAAATGTCTCTAAAAAGCACCCAAAGTTTCAGCTTACAATAAAGTATAAAGCTTAACTATATTTATTCTTTAAAATAAGCGTTTTAAATTGTTTATTAATGTTTTTAATTTCTTGCCAATTACCAGTGGGTAAGTATGAGAAAATTAAAAGCACTATATATATTGTTCTAGGCTTAAGTATTTTAATCTCTGGTAAGATAATTTTCTAAATGTATTAATGTTTCCGGATTTGATTCCAAAGAATAAAATATATCTATGTGATTATATTAGATACTGAAAATTTGTAGGGTAGAAGAGGTCAGTGATGTCAGTTTCAGAATAGGTAAGATTTTGACACCCTTTAGTGTCACCAACAATTGTAATATGATAAAGAAACTAATGTCATGCCAAATGTGTCAGAAAAATACCCTAATTGGTTGCAAAAGGAAAAAGAAAAGGGTAATATAGTCTTTCATGATTATTCTCTTTTCAATAATGTTCAAGATATTGGAAAAGGTATGATCCTTTTAATTATTAATGCACTTTGTCTAGTACAAATAAAAATTTAATTTTCAATATTCATAAAGGAGGATTTGGACATATTAGTTCGGCTGACTACAAGGATGAAAAGATCGCATTAAAAAATCTTAAAACTAAAGTAGCGACTAAAGAATTTGTTAATGAGGTATGTATTATCAGTTGGCTTCCAGTGTTTGTTTAATCTAATAAGTCATGATCCTGTAGCTTAGACAACTACAAGCTATGAAGTTTCATCGTAATATTAATCAATTTTATGGGATTACAATAGGTAATGATATTGTATACTTAAATAAACATTTTATTGAAATCCTTAAATAATATTTCTGCATGACATTATTAGATCCCAAAAACGAGTATCTCATGTTAGTATTGCAGTTTGCTAATGGAGGAAACCTACGGCAATATATACAAAGAAAATGGAGAAATGGTGATACTTTTACAATTTCATTAAACGAAATTATCAAAATTTCCCGACAAGTTACTCTCGGTTTACAGCTTTTGCACGAGAATAACATAATTCATTGTGATTTAGTAAGCGTAAATTCATAATATTTGACTTATTATTTATAATAAATTATCTAAATTGATAATTCAATTCATCTAGCATTCTAAAAATATCTTAATAAATAATGGTAATTTCTTAATTGCGGATTTTGGCTTAGCAAGAAAAGTGGATGATACACTTGTCTCTTCATTTTCAACTTTGCATGGTGCAGCAGCGTTTCTTGATCCACTATGCCATCAACCTGAAAACAAACGAAATAAAAAAATGGACATTTTTAGTTTAGGTGTAATATTTTGGGAGCTTACAAGTGGAGCTGTCCCATTTGGGCACGCTCTCAATGTAACGGCCATAAGTGTTCAAATGTTGCAAGGTTACCGACATGCTACGATTCCTGGTACGCCATATAATTTCGCTGAGCTTTACAATAAATGCTGGGATATTGATACGCAGAAACGTCCAACAACAAACGAAATCTTGACGACTCTTGATATAATATCAAAAGAAACAATAGTTGAGGTGTCTATTACAAATTGTGATCGAAAACCTACTCCTATTTTAACTAGGAATATCGCACCTAATTTCTTTTCTGTTGGACTACGCATGCAGGTATTAAATGAGCCTGGGTTAAAAGCTCTTCCTTTAAAATAGACGATGCGAGCGAAATACAGGAGGGTGATATAAAGATTTTACAATTAGGGACTAAACTTATAACTTTAGAACCCACTAATTGTTTATGACTTAATTTTCTTTCATGATCTTTATTTCTTTATAATTATAGTTTATTCTCTATATAGTTATCATCTATATAGTCACAAATTCAATATAGTAAATTTACCACCTTTTTATAAGCACATTTTAATTATAGACATTATTACAATTTTTTATTAATCATCTATATAAAATTACTTTTACATAATCATGTATTATTATAAATATTTCTAATAAATTATTTTATTATAAATATTTTGTATAAATTATTTTATTATTTTTAATGAAAATTGCTATTTTTGCTATTCATCATAGATGCATGAAAACATCTCAATTTTATCATTTTTGTTTATAAATATTTTAAAACTTTGATTAATAATATCTTAATAATTATTTGATCAATATCATTTTACAAATCTGTAAAATTCAAATAAAAAGATTTATCAATTGGGTTAAATAGTTATTAAGATATCTTTGATTAAAGTTTTGATATAATTGTATTAGTTTATATTTAATATACTTAGAACTGTTTTTATTTTTAGCTCTCTTTATATGCTTTTCATTTCTTTTCTTTGATTTTTCTTCTATTTTACTATATATATTTTTAATCCACTTTTGTAGTTTATATATTTTCTTTCATTTTTCTAACATTTTTTTTAACTTTTTTTTTCTAAATTGTTTTTTATAATGTTTTTCTATTTCTGTTTTTATTATTTACAGAAAGAAATATTTTTATGAAGATGTCATTATATAAGTTACTAAATTATTATAATATAAAATTAAAATTTTTATTTGATTAAAACTATGCAGTTATAGTATACTTAATTATATTGTAGTAATTTAGTAATAATTTTAAAATTAATAACTTAATAATATTAATATATATATTTGTATTGTTGATGCAACATCATTAGGACATCATTATAATTTATTTAGAATTAAAAAAATAATAATGATTTAGTTACAATTATATTATGGCTTTATAATAATCTTGTGGCTTAATTATAAAAAAATTATTATATAAATATTACTAAGCAGTTATATAAACTTAACTATTTGGTATTAATACTATAACAGCCCAAAATCAATAATGTACTGATATTAATATGTGCAATTTATATGTCTGCTAAGATCTAGATATAGTTTTTTAATAAAATCTAACAAATATTTTTATAATCTCATAACAACTTAGAAATAACATAGTTGTGAAACTTTTAAGTCATTATAATTTATTAATAAATAAGCAAATTATTATAATTTAATTATGATTACATAATAATTTAGTAATAACATAGTTCTAAAAATTTTAGAACATTGTCAAAATTTATAATAATAAGTAAATTGTTATATTATAGTTACAATCTAATAAAGATTTAATATTAAAATTAAAGTTTTTTTAATATATTATATAAAATAGAAATTAGATAAAATGAACTTAGAAAGAGATGTAATCTATATATATTAAAATTATAGCATATATATTATTATACCAAATCTGCAAAATGCTTGTCAACAATAATCAGAATTATATAACACAATTATTATTCTTAAATAATGATCTATTAGAGTCATACATTATATATTAAAGACAGAATCAGTACTTAAATATTATATATATTAAAAATATCAAAGAGACAGATATAAATAATATATTTATAAAGAAAAATTTTGATCTGTTTAATAAAATTATACTTCTTTTTATACATATTGTTATGGCATAATTGGTTCATCAATAAAAGGTAGTATTTAAATTTTTAAGTATTAGGCTTGGTTTAACTATGATTATTAACATATTAAGTTATTAATTTAACTAGATTAATTTGAGATAATTAATTATTCTTTAATCTGTAGATCATTTCCAGACAAATTTGCTTAGAAATTTTTATTGTTTGTACTGTTATACTAAATTACACTAACCTTTAACTGAATTGGCAAAATTTGTTATTTACATTGTAACCAAGGTCCTGCACAAGTCACAGGCATTATATTTTATCTGTTTAGTAATGTATATATATACTATAGTACTAAAAAAATTATTATTAAAAAATCAAAAATCTTGCTATCATTATCTTGTTCATGTGAAATATTTGTAGTTTCAAAAAAAAACATATTTTCTTTATTTTATTTTTTTTGACCTTTTTGTTATTTTTCTTTTTATCAACCCCATTTGATTACTTTTACAACTCTCTAATTCAGCTGCTTCTTATCAATAATTGCTAACTTATTTACTTTAGAAACCTTATTGCACTGATATGATAATCATCTAAGTTGTTCTATTTTTTTCTTTTATGACAATTAGAGCCAAGTTAACATGCCTTATAAATTCACCTGAATTAATAATTAATAGTTACAGTATATACACATATACACTTACTCAAAGCTTAATATATAGACTAGTAATAAGATATTTATGATTTTATTCTTTTGCAATACAATTCAGATTATTAAAATTTCAAATCAGCTTTATTTATTTATTTAATTTACCTTACTTTTATTTATTTATTTAATTTACTTTACTTTTATTTATTTATTTATTTTCTTGGTCTTTATATTTTTCTTTTTGTCTTATCTGTTTTATTTATTTATTAGTTTAATTATTTTGTTTATTTTTTTTTTGTTTTTATTTAAATTTTTTTTTTTAATGTTAATAAAATAAAAAGTTTATTAAGCTTAGAATTACACATTACTTAGTTTTAGATACAAAAAATATCATAGTCCAGAAGGTTAATAATTGACATAAAATGTAAAAAGAAAAATTGTAGATTAAAAATTTAGTCATTATAACTTTTGGAATAAAAGTTTCTAAAACAATGTGGTCTTGATTTGAACAACATAATTGCACTTTACATTTAGTGCACTATAGCTGTCTTTGTGATAGGTTATCATAATTAATCACTTTTTCATCATGTAGTAATAAATAATGACAATAAATGCAAGCTTCTCTTTTTTCTTCTATTCGACTAAATGATTCCTATCCAATAATTGAGTTAATGATAATTCAAATTTTTTAGTAACATGAGTAGTGTGCTTTCTTTTTGATGATGCTTGAGAGGATATTTCATCATGAAAAGATTTTTTTATTATTTATTACTTAATGTATCTTTAATCAAATCTCATGCCAAATAAATTCTAAATTCTTTACTTAAGATATTAGAGTTAATAATCCTGTGGTAGAAAAGTACACAGTTTACAAGAACAGTATCTAAAATCTAGAAAAATAAAGAAAGTCATATATATTTAACTATTAGTTGACAGTTGTAGTATTTATAAAGTTGGTTAGTAATATCAACACCATCTATATTTCAATTGTAGTTATCAATTATCCATAGAATTTCTAATTTTTTTTAATATGCATCTCCAAAAACATGACAGTCAGTATTTGCATTAGAACTTGTTTTATGTAAACACTGCCAGTTATGAATAACTTTAGAATTATCACCAGAAATTTCATAAATAGTGGACAACATAGTTACTAGGCAATTATCAATCCAGAAAATAATCAAAACATTATCAACTACTTTATCTAAAAGTGTGCTCCAATTTAAAGGTAATTCTTTGATAGTTTTTAATTTTCTAAAAAATCTAGTTGAATTCATATGAACAGTACCATAGATGCCAACACTATTTTCACATAAATATTTAAAAAGAAGTATGCTAAAAAAGTAGTTATTCATATACACATGATATGTTTTATCACAATAAAGCTTACAAACTAAATGTGCAACCATGCTTTCTATATTACTAAGGCTGGGAATAGATTCTAAAAATGTGTTTTTTTCAATATATGAAGTAAACAAAAATGACTATGTATATTTACAATCACAAAATAAGATTATTTTGTAGTCTTTTAATGTTAGTTTGTTTTTCATCCTTATTGTATGGGTGCTTTACCTAGAGAAGTGTACAATTATTTCATTAATAGAAATATTTAAGCTAGGTATATAAAATTTCTTAATTGCCTTTTAAATATACATCATCAATAGTTCCACTTTAAAATACCAAAAAGGATGCACTTCACTAGAAGATGAAATATAAAAAAATCTTTTTATTTGTTAAAACCTAATTATATTTATAAATCTTCTAATCTTATATAACACTTTTTTTTTATTCTGATTCAAAAGATCTTCAATAGCATTAATTTAATGAACATCTATATAAATAATCAATCCAAGTCAAATTTTTAACTTATTTAAAGTTAATGAATTTTATGGATGACCTCTTTTTCTATTCTTTACTTGTTTATATATATTAGTATTTTTAACTATTGTCTGCAATTGTTTAGTGATAAAAAACAACTGAACAGTGCAAGCAGAATAACAATTTTTAGTTGAAATTCATAAAGAAGTGTTGCATATCCTTTATGAAATAGATAAAGGTCTTACATAGAATTAAATATAGGACATTCTAATACTAGTAATACTGTATCAGTGTTGATATTACTAGTTTGTAGCTCTTTATTATTTTTACCCTTTTTTTTATTTATCAACTTTTCTTTTCCTCTACCTCTTCTTCTGTTTCTCATGCTACTCCTTCTCCTACTTCTTTTTCTACCTTTACCCTTTTCACTTCCACTTCTACTTTTACTTCTGCTACTACTTCCTATATCCAGTTCTATATTTATATAATTTTGTTCATTGAATTCTTGCTTATTATCATTGGCAACTTTTATAAGTTTATAATTGATAATTAATTTATAATGATTATTATGCTTAAAAGTAACTGAATATTGTGTATCAGAATTCTTGTAATCAGAAGACATGAATGATTTGTTCTTGAAAAAAAAAACAAACAAACTTGTAAAGCACAATAAAAAATATAAGATGTGAAATATAAAAACACAATAGTTATTGTAAACAGTTTATTAAAAAAAATGTAGTGATCAAAAAAAAAAAGAATGTAGCAATCAAAAAAAAAAGAATGTAGCGATTAAAAAAAATCCT